CCCCCCGCCCCTCCCCACGTGGTCCAGACCAGACTCCAGGAGCACAGGGCCACTGCCCAGTGGGCCTCCCCAGCTTGCCCTGCCCACAGGTCGGAGTCTATTTTTCACCAGTTTCTTTGCAGACTCACATTACTTCACCCCCAAAAGATACCAGAAAGAACTGTCTTTTGAGAAATCACATGGGGCCAGGAGAGGAGGGCTGGCTGGTAAGGCACTAACAGCCCAGGCCTCACAGGCATGGCCAGTGGGGAGAGGGGCCAGCTCCAACTCGCCATCTCTGGGCTTCTGCCTCATTTTCCCTCACCTCTGCCTGTCTACACCCAGAGTACTTCTGGGCTTTTCTTCTGAAACAGGCTCTTCCAAGTCTCCTAGTTACCCTGAGGACTAGGGTAATCACAGTCACCAGAACCCCAACGTGCCGTTAAGAGCTTTTTGCCACCACTGCTGGCCGTCGCACCAAAGCCCACGTTCTGAGGAAGGACAGGCCCCCAGCTCCAAGGAGCGCAGGGCTTTAACTAAGAGCTCTGAGAAAGAAGCGAGTGCGGGGCTCCCTCAGAACCAGCCCCTTGCAGCATTTTTATTCCACCTTGAGTTTCTCCCATGAACAGCTTCCCTTCCAGGCACTGCTCTCGCTTTTTCCTCTCCTCCATTCCCAACTTCCTGCTTTGCAACCTTGGGTAAGTTTTCATCTACGTAGTGGGGGGAGATATTAAGTGGGGCGAGAATTAAGCGAGAAACCCAGGCAAGCGCTTAGAGGTCTGTCACTGCCCCATGTGAGTCCGCTACGACTGACCCGGAACTGCCGCAGACGCCCCGTCTAACTCTCTACCACCTCCCCACTGCCGCACCGCGCCTGCCCCTCACCTCCTGCGCCCTCTCGGCTCCGCACGCCTCCTTCGCGCGCTCCCCTTACCTCCCAGCCAGGAGGTCTCCCAGACATCCTGTGACCTGAGCCTCTGCGTGTCCGCCACTACTGCCTTGTCCTGCTCCCTCTTGAGAAGGCTCACCTCCTCTTGGTTCTCCTCCTACCTCTGGATGCTCCTTCTCAGCCTCCTTCTTGCTCCTCCTTAAGTGCCGGAGTTCCTGCTCAGCCCTTAATGTCTCTCCTGTGGCACTGCCACGCGGGCCTTCAGCGGCCACGCCGGGACGGGCTTACAAGTGGACACCTCTATTTCCGTGTTGCGTGTGTCCAACCAGCTGTGCCACATCTCCTCCTGCTGCAGCACACGTGCTGCAAACTCGACGCCGCCCGAGCTACACTCATCGACTGCTCTCCTCCGGCCCACCAAGACCTGCTTCTACTCCTCGTCGCATGTCTAACGGGGGGTCACTACGAGTGCCCCAGGCGCCCAAACCTGGAAGTCAAGCCTGACCTTTCACTCACTCTCACGGCCTACATTCATCAAGGCACTGCGGCCTGCAGCTTTTACTTCCTTCATCTCATATTGGTCCCTTCCTTTCCAACTCCCACTGCAAATGCCTTCAGGCCTCCCAGTTCTTTCCCGACTCCTCTCAGACTGTGCCCCTCCCCCATCCAAAACACGCTCTACCCTCCACTAGGGTATTTCAGCAATGGCATGCGTTGTGTCACGTCCAGCTTCACTGCCCTCTGACGCGCCTTCTTACCCAAACACTCTACTACAGCTGGTGTCCGCCAACCTCTAGCCTCACTTCTCACCAGTCCCTCAACTCCTGATTCCGAGCTCCAGCCAAGCTGAATACTTGTTTATCCCCAAAATGTGTCTTGATGACGCAGGCCTCTGTATCTTTATGATAACTATACATACTGATGCATCGGCATTA